AGAAAAATTAAATTCGTGTTATCCATTTATTGAAGTTTATAATTTTTGAATATGATTTTTTTGCTAGTATCTGATGAATTTACCTTAGCGTTAATGTAAGTTTATAATAAGTTCTCATACTTTTCTGTACCCAGGTCGTTATTAGTTATCTTTGCAATAGGTAGGTTCAGTCTTCTCTAAACTCAGTTTCCAGTTGATTAACAAACTAATGACCTATTACTTCAGTTAATCTTGCCGGTGATCAGCACTGATGGCAAAATTAACAGTGGCTGTTCGTTTGTTTAATAAAGTACTACGCTGAACGTTTTTCAGTTAACATATAAGTTAATTAATGCACTCTTTGTAATGGGATAAATTCCATTTATACTTTGGCCGGGCGTGACCTTGCATTTAGTGTATCCGAGGGCTAACGATTTACTACCATTGCATCGGAAAAGCGCTTCGCACTTGGAGCCGTGGATGCACTGTAAGAATGATGGTCAAATCCCACTATTTGATCAGTGGTGGATCATGCAGGACCGCCAAGAGGCTTTCATGGGCTTCTAGGAAGGCTTTGTATCCGCTGCTCTTCTCCAAAATAATGAAAAAGCCGACATACACAGAACTGTATTTATCAGACTTGGTAATGCGCTCATCTATCACTTAGGGAACAGAAGTGTCATGAGGGCATTGCGATCACTTGATGATCAAACAAAATAACAGTTTCAATGTTAAGGACAAATGATGAAATCATACATTAAAGTACGACAGATTAGAATATTTTTTTAAATACTGTAGGCTACTAGCCTTTTCTTTTGAAAATAAACTGCGCTTGGATATGTATTCATACTTTAAGGATCTGTAGTTGTAGTTACAAACGATATTGGTTTTCTTTGTGCCACGGCTAGGGTAAGACTTGTCGTAGGTCGCTTTATCGTTAGTCATAGTACCCCAAGTTGATCCATATTCTTTTGTTTCTCTAAATGCCATCAAGTACAAGGGATATTTCCGTCGTGAAAATTCCAAATCCTCGATCTGAGTGTGTGTGATTATTTTGCATGAAAAAGTTTTGTTACATACCATTTCCCAAAGTGATACATTTTCGGTAGCATTACACCATCTACGAAACTACAAACAAAGTCAAAATGTAGTTCTGATACTTACCATTCCATCACATCTTTATATCAGTTGTGTTTGTCATGTTTCTTGTTGATTAAATATCTTTAATATAATGTACTCAAAAACTTTTTGTACTACATTGTATTATACTATATTGTCCTACAATGTAGCATAAGACAAAAAAATAAGAATTCAAGTACAGTCTGTGCTGGCCCAGTAAGCAAGCAATAGCGTCTTTAATACAGTCAATATAATATAAAATCTGCGGTATCTTTAACACGCGTTAATATATTTTATTAATTATCAGTTTCATTTGAGTTTTTTATAATTTATTTTAATTCCCATATATTTTATTTTTCTAGTAATTAAAATCAGAAAAGGAGAAAAAACTTGCGAACCATTTCGAAGTGAAAAAAATCAGTTTTATAGTTATCATAATATTTTACGTAACTTCAAATTTTTAAAAGTTAAAACCACAATGATGGAAAATCTTTAAGTATCAGATGCACTTAACCCTATTCATAAATGTTTTATGTTCAAATATTCATGCCTTTTCCAAGACGAAAGTGTTGTAAACAAGTAAAACGTTTAAACATGTAAACGAGCTTCGTTTTAACCTTAAATTAATACCTATTGTTACATCTCCGTTTGTGTTGATTGATTTTTCGTAACTTCGTTCCGACGAAACTTAAGCGACACAAGTTCGTTCTTAATAAAAACTGGTTTATTCTTTCCGAATATAACTTTACCGATACACTTATTTCAATATTCGAGCTAAAACAGACACTATAACGAACGAACGTTAACTTCAACAATACCCTGTGACTGCAGTTCAATTACTCACTGTCTATCTACCCA